TAGAGAACGATATTCTGATCAAGTTGCTCGCATATGTGCAACAAAATCTTTCGAAACACTTCGGAAGCCGTAGCTACTTTTAGAGACACCTACAATGTCCACTAGAGAGTAAAGAAAAGAGCGTAGTTGTTTAGAACTAAAAAATTCTGCTGAAATGCAGTATTCATATCCAAATACAAGGATAAAGGAAAGCTGCGAAGGAGTTAGGCGTACAACATGATAAAACAGCGCACAGAACAAGGAGTAAGAGAAAAGGACAGATAGAACGAAGGAGTGCAACACTCTTTCGTTCTACCTGTCTTTTTCTCTTCCTTTGTGTTATGTGCGCTGTTTTCTTGCGTTAAAGTACCAACTAGCTTGAATTATTACTTCATTAGAGTTAGGTATACCTTCGAATGGCTCGTAACTTGAAAGCCATGTTGGGGTATTACAACTTTTAACCTTATTCGTCGGTCGCATCCTAGCTCGCCCGTTGAGAGACAGAAAACGTGAGCCTTTGGTTCCGTGGCCCAATATCTCCAACGCCTCGGCACACAACACACGTGTTGTGCGCCTCACATTATATGTAAGCACTCTTGTTGACGAGAAACGAAGCGAAAAGCGAGGCGGGTATTTTGTTTCCGCACATCCAGCGACCTTCACCATCGCAAATTTCGTCCTGCCGTTCTTTGATTGCGAGACGTCTGACGCCTGATAATGTTCGGTCGTCACGTTGCTCATATCTTTCTTCCTTTTTGTATCTAGTGGTTCCAACCTACAATCGACTTTCATCAGCGCGGCTTGAACAAAGACAACGAGAATAACGACGCAAAAAAAATCAGCTTGCCCTGAAAATCTGGTGAACATTATCGGCATCGTCAGAGGTGCTCGGTGATAAGGACTCACTGCTGGCTCTCGATGCTTTGTATGTACACTCTCCGGCAATATGAAAGACCCACTGGGAATGCGTGGCCGAGGCGGTGGCTGGCGGGGGCGCTGCGAGCGCTCTGGCCAATTCCATTCTGCTTCCAGGGGAGGACGCTCACTCAGGGCTCAGCTAAAACGCAACGCGCTTATCAGTTTGTGCTGAGCCCCGAGTGAGCGTCCTCCCCTCGAAGCAGAATGGAATTGCCCGGAGTGCTCGCAGCGCCCCCGCCAGCCACCGCCTCGGCCACGCGCTCCCAGTGGGTCTTTCATATTGCCGGAGACTGTACTCCGTGTCACTAGTTGCCTACAGTACAGGCGAAGGCAACGCCAAGCGAGGGGAGAAAGACCAAGCACTAGGAAGGTTGTGGCGAAGCAGAAAAATTTCCGCTTTTTCCTGACGTTCCTAATGCTCTCCCTTTCTGCTCTTGCGCTATAATGCCTTCCTCTCCCGTCCCATCTTCGTCGTGCAATCTCTTTCTCACTTCGCCTGGCCCGTTGCCTTCGCCTGCACTGCACACAACTAGCGACACGGAGTATATATAAGGCACGGTGGGGGCTAGGTGTTGCTACTTAGCTGACGTCTTTAAACGAAGTGCGCAGTCTTTAGTTTCTAAAAGGTGTTGGCCTTCCTATTATCACTTCTCGCCGCACTGTGTGGAAGAACCCAATTCTATTTTTTTTATTAAGAAAACATAATTAACGTGTTCAATTAATATAGACGCACCTGCACCCAACGCAACATAAATTGAATAAAATAACCCACACAAAGACGCGCTTACAGGCGACGTTCAAAACAGCAACTAAACAATACATGTGATATGCTCATCTCGGTACGATCCAGCCGGACCGCAAAACAATTGGTAAGAACTTAGACTACCCGTAAGATGAAACACTGCCACAGCTGAGGTGTGACGTCGGAGCTGCTAAGGCTTCATTTCGGAGCAGATGGACACAATGAACGGTACAGGTGCCCAGCGCGTACCATAGAGACTTTATAGGTGTTTCGTACCAAACCGAGTAATACACCGGACGAAAATTCTTTTACGTTTCGCAATCAATGATGGTGTGTAAACTAAAACCATTTCGTGAACCTGCTAAACAATTTTATTTAACACAAGCGAGGACAGACTTCTGGTAATTGAAGAACACTTCGTAAATTGCGCGCCCAAGTTTGAAATCCAGGGAACGACGAAACTGCGTTTGAACGCATGAACCTTAAAGGAGCTGTGCAACAATTTCAGTGCTTTGCTTAAATAATTTGGGAGTTGGTGCCTCGACCATTCTGAAGTAAAGAACAAAAAACTGCTTTTGCCTGCATGTCCTAGTTTTTATATTTAAAATAGACAAAGACTGATGTTTTCGGCACCTCTCAACTCCACCACCTTCCGAGTCACGTGCGCTGTGACGTCATGGGGGTTGAGCGGGGTTCCGGTGAAGCTCTCTCTCTAGAGTCATCAGTCAGCAGCCAGAACACATCCGCTCCCGACCGCGTGACCACGTGCTGGCGCAGCGCGAACAATATGGTGAAAGGAGGAAGGTCTCATCTGGGTCCGGTCATACCCGTCCGGCTCTCTCAAAGAGGTGTGGCTCTCTCCCCCTCCCCCTCCGGCTTCTGGCGGCTGTTCGCGGTAGCAGATAGAGCTGACGGTTTTGTGGACCTTGGATAGATGGCGCCACTAAAACTTTGTATAAGAAAAGTTTTGTGAATGATACCAGCTTTTTGACGCAATTATATTTATATTGGAAGGACAAGATTTATAGAAAACTTACCTTTTATCGAGCAGGTATTCGCACAACTTGCTATCTTTCTACAAGGCCCCCATTGACGTCATGCCGCGTGGCTCCCATAGCCGCCGCTCGCGGCTGAAGGTCCGGGAATATTTTTATTTTTGCCTAGCGATTACGCGGCGAAATCGCAACATTTTGAAGGAAAGAGGTGTGTTTTCGGTCCTTTGTAACAAGATAAACAGTGTAAAAAGTGGAAGATGCCAATTCTTTCAACGTTAAAATCGTTGCACAGCTGCTTGAAACCGTTTGTGGTTGCCTGAACGTCTAATGCAGTGTTATTGGATACAAGCTAACACCACCTTCTAGTCGCTGAATAATACTAAGATCGCGCCAGCACTTTCAAAACTGTGGCTCCACCTAATTTCACGCCCGTGGTGTTGCCGACTTAAGACCCGCCTAGCATTATTCGTTTTAGCGCCCGAGAACCTTTCTGACATAATTAGAGAAAACGCTTTGTTTTTATTTTTTGAATGATCCCCCCCCCCCCCCCCCCCCCCCGCCCAGCAGTTTTATGTTTCTCTTTCTACGTGCCACCATGGTGTCACGTGACAACGTATTGTGACGTAATGTCTGAATGTCACCTGACGTCGCTGTGTCACGTGGCGTAATGCTATCACCAGACTCACGATGTCAACTGACGTTATAAATTCGCGTGGCGTTACTGTGCAACGTAACTTGACAGGACGACTTCAGGTCATGCTGTTCTTTGACGTCAGGTAGCAGGTAACGCGATGCGCGGTGTGAAATCAGACTCGTGTTGAGCGGCGTGACATCAGCGGCGTGACGTTAATGTGGAATCTTTTGGCGGAGTGCCGAAAATGGCCCGCGTGGATATGGAGCGTGGTCGACGGCACGAAACTCGCGAAATGTCCCACTAACTGCTATCGCAATAAAAGCAATGAGATAATTCTAGCGTTCTCCAGCGAAAACTAAAGTCCCTTGATACATCTTTTACGAGTAATGACAACCAATACAAATGTCAAAGCATATTGTGCTCCACCATTTGCTTCCTAAAACCTGCACCGTCACGCAGTCGGTGCTTCATAAATATTGCTATTTGTAGGAAGCTCTTATCTCGGGACTTTAGCGACAACAGCCTAACAGCCTGTACAAGTTATAGCGAGAGAACTGAAGTGCGTTCTTTTTATCCCTACTCTTTTTTTTTGTTTTGTTTTCGTGGTGCGTAGTTTTAAAACCGAACTTAAGGCAACATTTTCAAGTTTCACAGATGATAAATATGCAGTAGCGGCATAGGGGGATGCTTGTTATCTTGGTGAGCGAGAACGCCAACGGCATATGTTACACCAGTGACAGTGCACGAAATGTATCTCCGTGAGGTTGAAGAGTTCGCACAGCTCAATTTCCCAGATTGGTTTGACGGTTGCGCTTGCCGCCACTTTCCCCAAATTAAAAGCTCGTCATAGGCGGAAGTAGATGCACTCCACCTTTCGAGGTGTTGCGTGAAGATAGCTAAATGATTAATTGCTGCAAATTTTATATGGACCTTTTCGACAATTTTTGAATTTCATTTGACTTTGCGTAACACTACACTCTAAAAAAAGGGGGGGGGGGGTGTAAAAGGGTGTATTGTTACACCCTTTGTGCCATATAATACACACCAAAATTTCAATTCGACGTACAGCGTTCTATAGTCGAACAGACGGCCCCAAATTTTACGAGGGGCTTGATAGCCGTGTCATTTAACTTATTAAAATATCGAATGTACATGTTACTGACTACGAAAAAAATAATCGGGATTTTCTTGGCCCTACTGCAAAAACGCTGTGTTTTTTTTTATGTGGTCTTTGATACGTGCTTTAGATATTTAAAAGGTTATATCGCACCGTTATCAAGCCGCTCCTAACATTTGGGGAAATCTGTTCGACTATAGGGCGCTGTACGTCGAAATCAGGTTTTGCGGTGCACTATATGGGAAAAAGGGTGTAAGGTGATACCCTTTTGTTTTAAAGTGATACCTTCAAAACCTTATTATTGCACATCACAGTTTAATCCACTAACCACACGTTTCCAAGTTTTAGTTCGTTTACTACTGATTGTGGAGGCTAATATCTCTTTGGGTGTTTGTATTTTCGCTCCTTGCGAATAGGTAACAATATTAATGTTAGCACCATCAGGAAAGATAAGTATTATAATAACTTTTTTATATTACTTTTGGGCAAAGTAAAAAGCATTTCTAAATTTTAGATACAGGTGACATAATTTTATACTTAAGCTATTGACATATGTAAATATCTATATGATTTTTGCACTAAATGATGTTGTTTGTGTTTTCGTTTCTTTTTCAGCTTCGCTTCTCAGGACTGAGTGGACCAGTGTTCTTGGACCCTTTTGGGAGAAGGTACAATCTCACGCTGCACGTCCTACAGCTAAAAAAAGCAGGACTAGCGTCGGTAAGAATATTATATTCCTAATATGCAAGGTGTTCCAGACGCAAAGATTAATGAAAAAAGTGCTATTCATGCATTGTATCGGTTTTATGCAAAAATATGGTCGAGGCTTCTCCGTGCTGCAGCTTTGCATAAAACATTTTCCTCCGCTTTATTAACGCATATGTGATGGTTGTGTTCGAAACAACATTGGTTTTAAGCAGTTTTTTAATTAGTATGTCTTTTTGCAATCTCTGAGTTCCGCCGTGGCAGGCAGTTTGTTCAGAAATTAAGTTTCGTTTTACCTCAAAAGCATTTTTTTTACATCCAATAAGACGTAACAGCAAATTGTATTACTGCTGAGTTCGTACTAATTCCACACGCTTCGTAGTGGAAGATATATTTTCGGGTATGAAAAATGAATTCTCAGAGTGTTTAGAAATTTTGTGTCGCCAGAATGACATCGCCAGTGTGCAATGTGAAAAGAAAATTACCTTGCATTACGTCTACGTTCCTTCCTGCATTAATTGTGTCGCTCACAAAAATAGCAGTCATTCTGTTAAATAACCATAAGAAACAACAGAGAAGGGGAACAAACGGAGAAAGGACAAACAGTAATCTCCAAAACAGCAAAACATTTCTGCTCAAATGTTTGCAGTAGTAAAGAGGCGTGCATGGACAAAGAGCGCGCAAAATGTATTACGCAGAGTAGAACATCTTAAACCTTGAAAATATTATCACGAATCGGATTTGACGACGCGGTGAAAACTGAAGCAAACTAAACATATAATGCGGAAAACCTGTGCCTGAAAAAAAAAATGGAAAAAGAGTAATGTCGCAGGCGTTGATGGCGGCGACACAGCAGGATCGAACGCTGGGGCGAGACTGACACCGGCTCGCCACGAGGAGCACTTTTTGTGCACGCGAGTGCCTCCGAAACAATCGGCATAGAAGGTTCGGCGCGTGGAGCATTCTAACTTCGAATAAGCAACAGGGTTTTTGAATTTACTAGAACGCGATATTTTCATAACTATCGAAAATGTACGTCCGTTGCCAGTAATAGAACCGTGGACCTCTGCGTGTAAGCCCGGCACGATCACCGTTCAGCCACGGACGCGCTTTTGTTTTCTTTATTACAGTAACAGGCAGCAATACTCGTCAATGCCTGTTAAAAATGCACCCCAACGATTTTGCAGTGCATATTTAAAAACCAGCATTCCGAGCAGTGCTTTACACAAGCCCATCCACTCTGGCTTAGGCTTGCGTGCGGCCAAAACACTTTCGACCAGTTTTGTGAGTGTAAAGAAATATAAGCGTACTTCTTTGGTACTGGTGTCCTCATGCCGAACTGCCATGCAGGACCGCCCAAAGCTAAAGAGTCCCAAAATGAAAAACATATTATATTGCACGCAATCAGCATTTTTCACTTTGAAGCAATGTACGCCAGATGGTCAAATGCAGAGGTCCTTCTTCGAGGGACATTGGAGCACGTCCCCAAAAAACAATTGCGTCCCAGCAGATTATGAAAACATGCTCGATGGCGTCAGGTTTTTTACACAACCTACACTCCACCGGCTATGGCAAATCTACACCCTTTTCCTCAAGACAAGCTTTCGTAGGTAAAATATTACAGTGCAGTTTAAAGAAAAAGTCTCAAGGTATACCTGAGCACTTCTTACGAGTTGTGAATGCGAAAGCACGCACGCCGCTCTTTGCTCCCTTCTTTAAAGGGGCACTGACACCCCAAAGGTCGTATTCTTTTTTATTGTCTAAAACGATGCAAGTTGTAGTCATAAACACGCAAAAAAAAGCCGCATCGCGAAAAAAAATTTCCCCCCGCGCGCGCGCGCCTTTTTATTTTTGGCGTTTATATTTCCCGCGCTCACCTCCTTGCTTCTTTTGATCGGTGACGTCAAAAAACAGGAAATTTAGAAGCTTTGTAGGCGACCTTTCTATAACATTTAATAACGGCAATCCTAAAACATGTTTTTTAACGCAATTGCAAACGTACTACGGCCTTTCTTTTTGAAATACCGAAAATAAGATTTCGGTGTGATGTCGCTTCCTGGATTTGTATGCTCCCTCGGAAAACTTGGCGGCGCTCGAGCAGAGGATTATCGGCGAGTCGGGGAGGAAACCGGTTCCTTTCCCGCGCCGGCACCCTTCTATCCCGCCTGCTCGCCTCCTCCTCGCTTCGGGTCGCGGATGCAACGGCGCTTAGCTTCACAGCGTGGAGCGGAGGTCCGAAAGAAAGTCGAGTCGCAGGAGACCGCAAACTTTGACTCACTGCACTGGCGCGGATCGCGCGGGAACTTCAAATTCGGCATTTCGAAATTGTTTTTTTAATTCAGAAATACTGAATTCCCAAGTTTCAAATTTTGAGGGTAATGTCCAGGCATCGTTTTCAATCGTTTCGGATAGTAAAATAAAATATGATTTTGATGTGTCAGTGCCCCTTTAAGCTGCGGCATACAACGCGCTGACCTTGGGCGCGGAACGGTGGAGCCGCTGCCTCGCGGACACGCAGGGCCATCGGGTGAGCAATCGTTTGAACTGTCGTGTGCCTTGCCGCACGGGGAAGAAAAAAACAGCAACATAGTTTCCAGTAGAACGAACCCCTTGGTTTATTCCATGCGTCGTATATAGTGCCACGCGCTGTACAAGCGATAAGATGCGAGCGAACGCGGTGATCAGTGATAAAACAACAGTGTGATAGCACAGTCACGATGACACCGCACAAACTGACGCGCAGCGGCCAATGGTAGCCTCGTCGACGCGCGCCAGCCAGTGGGGCCGAAGTGTAAAAGGTGCTGTTGGCTAGCTTTGCGCGTGGTTTCGTTAAGGTGCGGTTTTGCATGGTTTCAAAGCTGATGGCGTCGGCTAGCTCAATGACACCCCAGTTAATGCTTTCGCATTAAAATGTCTGCTGAAGGGGGAATGCAATACGCTTCATTCATTTCAGTACCTCACGGCCCTCGTTGCAAGCAACATTTCTCTACACAGGCACTGGAAATATACTTAACAACAAGTCACGTTTTAGCGTTTTCTTGCATACCACCGAGAGGTAGTCCAACGAGAAGCGCGACGTAAAAAACGCAGGCCATTGACAACCCCTATCTGGAACCCGAGACGTCGGGATGGCCCGCCGCCACGAGGTGACACAAGGAACGATGGCCAATGAAGTGATAATTTTGTTTGGATGAGCACGCGTATGAGGGGGTGCTTGTGATTGCGTAAGAAAAAAAAAAGAACCGTGATACCAACTGTCGCATAAACAGTTCTGATATCCCTAGCCCTCCGTTACTCATACGATGAAACAAATTATCACATCTCATAGGCTCCCAAGACGATTCCCAGATAAAAGTTTCGAACACGTGATGAAGCTTTTGCACATTCAAACGAGCACAATAAATGACTGGCTAGACGTACCATAATTGGGGAAAAAGAAACACGGTACGGAAAGTCGTACAGGTGAAAATGGACAGGTCACGCCTTTTCCAGCGAAAAGCGCGCCTGTCAAGGTCAGTGGCGACACCCGACCAATAGCGCTTGTTTTCCCGATAAAAATTGAGTGGCACGGCAAGTTATTGGCACGGTTTGAAACCCCAGCTAATGCCTTCATACTCTGAAGGCGCTGTCGCCCACGCCCCGTGCCAAAAACCGCGGCACTTACGCCAGTTGACGACCGCGCCTTTGACTTTAGAAAAATAATTAACCAAACTAACTGCTGCGCTGACACTCTGCTTATCTAGACAAAAAACCGCAACGTCGTCTGCGTATCTCATACCTTTCACTTGAGCACGCCCCAAAATAAACCCCCGACACTGTTCGCTGTTGAGCACGCTGAAACCTGAAATGTTCCAAGTATGCATTGAAAAGTGAAAGCGACGAAGGGCATCCCTGCCTGAAAGAGGAACGAACACATATCGCTTCAGTTAAATCCTTGTTAACGATACAACTTGTCGTACATTCCTTGTAAGTCATTTTGGCACACTCCAAGATAACGGAACCAACATTGACTCCTACTATAACGTCGAAAAGTACGTCGTGCTTAACACAATTGAAAGCTTTGTCGAGATCGATTTGAAGCATGGCAACTTGGTCCATGCGGTATTTGCATGCCTCTGAAGCAGTACGTGCCGCATGAATGTTCTGTCGTTATGGGGCAGCCCTGCTTGCCACAGGTCTGGTGTTCACATACAAGTTTGCGGGTAACGCCCTAGAAACTTCGTGCTAAGATTTTCGTGAAGATCTTGTAGTCCACGTTACACAGCGCTATAGGTCGGTAACCCATGAGTGTCCGTAACTTATCGACGTCCTCACGCTTGCTCACGCTTAGGGAATAAAACTGTGTACGCTCGTGTGAACGAAGGTGGTAGCATTTTACGTTTATACAATTAGAAAAAAAAACATGCAAAAAATGTGACTATGCGGTGCTTTTTATCTTTTTTTTTTTTTTTTTTAAATGGCGCCCTTAAGCCATCTGTGCTAGGAGTCTGAGTTGGACAAATCGTCAATGGCCCTTTCCATCTCCTGTTTGGTGATAGCGTCCTCAAGCCTTTCTTGCGCCTTTTGCTCGAGCTGAAGAAGAGACTCAAGTAGTCCCTCGCACGCGGGGTCTTTTTTCCTTTGACTTGGCTATCGAAGAATTTCTGATAGCACGCCTCGGCAAACCTCACTCATGAGAGCCCTCAATCGCCCTCACTCATCCTCATCTTGACAGGTGAGGTGAGGGTGCGTGAGGACCGTGACGTCACGAGGGGTGTGATGGCCGTGAGTGTTGTGAGGGTTGTGGGGTCTGTGAGGTCCCTGAGTACATGAGGGGTATGAGTGCGTGAAGGCCATGATGGCCGTGATGGCGGTGAGTGCGTGAGGGGCGTGAGGGCCGTGAGGTTCAGTGAAGGTAAGTGAATGGCCGAAGGTGAGTGGTGATTATGAGGATGAGGGTGAGTGAGGAGCTGAGGGTGAGCTTAGCTGTGAGGGTAAGTGTGAGTGAGGGGCTTGGGTGAGTGTGCCTGTAAGGG